CTCCATCGTCAGTGTAAACCCCGGGGTCGACCACTGGGAGGTCAGATCAGTTACTCAGCCTCTAACTGTCCAAACATTTCCCAGGAGTCTTAGCCAAGAGCAACAATAAAAATATCTCCTTAACTTCTTCAACATAAAATAAAATAAAATAAAATAAAGCGTCCTGTGATCTGACAGCTCACTGGGTGGCGCAGCACCACCCAGTGTCCCAGCAGGGTGGTGTAGACCACAAACTGAACTCAGCCCAGTTACTCCACCACCACCACCGTCGTCGTCGTCGTCCGTCCGACGGAGTTTTCCGTAAACAGAATAATAATCTAAACCTGGGTCCATTCATGATGTTACGACAAACGACCTCTGGGAGCAGCGTTACTCTTAATTACCCCCAGAGATTGAGCAACCACAGCAGATCGGCCCCACTCTCCGCTGTCTCCGGTCGGAGGGCGAGAATTCCAAGAAGATTTGCTCATGTCACTGATGATGTTTGTCTCTGCAGCAAGGCTTTGGCAACATCGACGGCGAATACTGGCTGGGCCTGGAGAACATCTACTGGCTGACCAACCAGGGCAACTACAAGCTGCTGGTCACGCTGGAGGACTGGTCCGGCAGGAAGGTCTTCGCCGAGTACGCCAGCTTCAGAGTGGAGCCGGAGGCCGACTTCTACAAGCGGGGGGTGGGGCGTTACCACGGCAACGCCGGCGACTCGCTCACCTGGCACAACGGCAAACAGTTCACCACGCTCGACAGAGACCACGACGCCTACACAGGTAGGAAAAGAACCGTACTCAGACCTGGTCCTGGTCCTGGTCCTGGTCCTGGTCCTGGTCCTGGTCCGGTCTAGTGGGTTAGCTGTCTTTAGCTAGCATGCTAACAGCTCTGTGTCTCGTCGACAGGTAACTGCGCCCACTACCAAAAAGGAGGTTGGTGGTACAATTCCTGTGCCCACTCAAATTTGAATGGGGTCTGGTACAGGGGGGGGCACTATCGGAGTCGGTACCAAGACGGGGTCTACTGGGCTGAGTTCAGGGGCGGAGCCTACTCCCTGAAGAAGGTGGTCATGATGATCCGCCCCAATC